GCTAATTTATTAGATTGGACCATGTCTGAAAGTTCATAAATATCGAGGTATGCAAATTTGATGCTTCAAGACCACCACAATTCATCCTAAAGTTTCAATGAATGCAGCAACACGATCAATAGATAATCGTAAAACTAAGCGTCCATTGGCAAAATCGTCCAGATCATTGTATAACCTAAAACAGAAAACTAACACCACCAAATCATTAGAAATCAAGTTAGAAATATTCTACCTGAAGAAATCGTCTCGAGAATCTTGCCCAGGCGCCTCCGTCGCCGACCACCATTGACTCCAAGCACCACACACCTAGGAGCACCTCCATTTGTATGTCTCAAATCTGATCTCCGTTTCACCAATGGACCTTTGGATTGCTCGAAAATTGAGCTTACATGTCTTATTTTTTACAAAAAAAAAAAAATCTGGGCAAATTTTCAATTTGATTTCTACTCCAATTTTATCAGTTTTTGGAACTGTTTTTTGCTGGAAATCCACACTAACCACACTCTGATGCCATTTGTTGCGGAAGTGATCTTCAATACGTGGAATCTGGGCGGAGTTTGCAGTGTCTTATCCTAAATCAAACACAACCAACTAAAAGGTCAAACCCACAACTACTTTGGTTGCTCCATTTTGCGCCCACTTGGACACAATTATGGCGATGTATTCACAAGCCACAAAAAATGGTAAAACAATGGGAGAATAGGTTATACTCAAGCACAAAGAGACTGGATAACAAAGCACAGGCAACCAAGTGTTTTAAATTGCAAACTCACGGTTTCCAACAGCCAAAGGAATGGAGTATTAGAGAATTAGGCTGTAACTAAAATGGGCTATGTCACAGTAAATGGGCCAGCAATATAGGAGCCATCCAAGAAGTAGAATTTGGGCCATCGCAACATTAATTAGTTAGGTTGCTACTAATGGCCCTCTTGCTTTCGGGTCTAGCCTTTTAATTGATTCTATTGATAATAATTTTGTGCATTGACCGCGACCTATATAATTAAACTGTTTAACATTAACTCTTGAGATTTTTTGGGTATCAAAACCCAACAGTTAACAAGGTTTAGTCGGTCTCCAGCCCGAATACAGAAAAAGGGTATGCGATAGTACACAGACAGTGTCAAGTTTCGTCAAATCTTTCAATATGAACAACTGATGAGAGCAGCTCAACCCAAATTTATAGTGAACAAACGAAGTTTTGTTGTTCTCGTCTATTGGTTCATTAAATATCTAGTGGCTTTTTGGATGATGCTCCTGAATATCATCGTATCCTACAAATTCTGTTTCTCTGGGAACAAGAATTGCAATCCTCAATAAGTAAAGACAAGATTGATGAGGAAGCCAAGAGGACTCAAATTTTCTAAGTTAGACAGAAAAACGTAAAAATAGAGTGATCTGTACACTTTGTCCTGTTTCTCAACAAGATGCTGTTTAAGTGTTAGGAAGCACCAACTGAAGCTACTTTATTTCAGCTTTTAGCTCATTTTTTTTGCTTCCATAAAGCCATTTTTTTCTTATCCTAGCCTTTGCAATTAAGTAATCTAGAAGTATCTTACTCTATTATAGCACCATATACCAACAAAAATTAAAGGAATTAACTTTAATGACATGTTTGGTATGGATGATCAGTTTATATTAAATATATAAAAAGGGAAAAAAATGAAAATTTAGACGATAATTTATCTAATTGAGTAGTAATCTTCTATAGATATTTATCCAAGTCTATCTCATAAATACATCAATAATTTGATTGGATGGATAATATATCTTCAAAATTACTTAAGATTCGTGCAAGTTTTTTTGACAATCAGCATCCTAAAATCATGAATGCTGTTCGAAACCAGGAGTGGCAATGGGATGGAGTCGACCCTATTTCAAAAGTCAGTCCTACCCAGCCCCTAGGCCTCCTTGTTTAAGCAAATTATTTGTTTAAAAAAAATTATAATAATAGCAGATTTTGTTAAAACCCTCCACCTTTTGTCAGGCTTCAGACTAACTATGATTGAATGTAAACACCTAAACGAGATTGAAATTGTTCTCAAGAGAAAAATAGAAAATAACAAAATAGTTATACTTTGCTTTCTACAATTGCAAATAGCATTTTTTGGATGTATTACCCTCGAGCAGTCTATGTGTCAATAAAAGAATTGTCATTCTTATAAATTCAGAATGTATTTTACTTCATTGAAGTACGTGATTGTGATCCACTGTCATATAAATTTTTGATGAGTAAACATTGCTTACAAATAATATTATTTGATGCTCTAAGCAATATATCTTTTGAAAATTTTCTTCTTATATTTTGATATAGCCCCTGTTTGTTTTTCATTATTTCCTCATTGAAATGAAAAATATGATCGTTATCCATTACATCAAGTCACCAAATTTGAATTTCTATCAATTGTGAAGGGCCCATAACGACTAAATCTTCATTCTCATTCTTACAAAACAAATTGGGCCATAATTTGATTATGTTGTCAAAACATAATTATTAAACTCATATTATTGTCAAAATGAATATTGTTAGACATACATATTTGTTATAATATAATGAATGTTATTTAACTACGTGCTTTAATGTAGTTAAACAATGAGCTTTTGATGAAAAATCATGAACTTGTTAGATTCATTCTACTCTGTTTCTTGAAGAGAATAATAAAACGTCAAAGAATATAGCCCATGACATAGGTAAAAATAAACATTTGATTGAATTTAACATGATTCTTGAAGGAGAAAGTAATCCACATAGGATGCAAATGAGTCTTATGGAAGTCTATAAAATTAGTAGTTCTAGAAGCAAATAATTTATCGACGAAAATATGTTATCAATCAAATTGCAAATTGGACATTCGATTATTTTCATTCACTTGAAGATGAAAATATAATACTATATCTAAGTCAGTTGGTGCAGTATCGTATCTCATAAATTATACTTGACCACCATGTTGACTAAAGTCATCCACCCGAGGTAATTGAAGAATCTTATACGAAGACAGTGTTGCTTGAAAGTTATATCTTGATAACAACTGGAAACATATTTTCTCAAAATTCTTTTATGTGAGTTCTAAGATAATGGTGATATTTGAAAGATTGGTGCACAAGATATGGATGACACACTATAGTAATTTTTATTTATAGAAATCGATGGGAGTAATTGTATCATTTTTCCATCACTAGGTTGTTATATTGGATATTCGTCATAAGTTTTTAATGAGACGGTATTTTGATACTTCAAATTTTTTTTAACAATTGATTGCTAAATTCTTAGTTATACCATGGAACAAAATTGAAGTGTGATTACTTGATTGAACTAAAGTGAAAATATAGTTACTGTGAATTAAATTTACTTACAGTTGAGATTGTTTGATAAGGATTAAAATTAGATTTTGATAGAAGTTTTTGAAATGTATAGTTAAAAAATTGTGAAACCAACGAAATATGTGATTAATATTGATTGTTTGACTTTAACTCAGATTAAAATCTTAGCCATACAGGGGTAAGTATACTATTTTTTCCCATGAAGTGTTTTTCTAAGTTGGGTTTTTGACTAGACATTTGTTGTGTAAATATTGGCATATTGCTATAAACTAAAATATAATTATTGAATGATTAAAGTAAATAAATCTAATTCCTTTTCAATTATAAAAAAAAAAATCCTCGAACAGTGATAATATTCTCTCTCAGATAAAGTCAATTATTGCCCACTAAATTAGGCATTAAGTAGAAATTATCCACAATCATGAGCTTAATTGCCTCCTCCATCACACCTCAAAGTACTATAACCAATTAACCATTCACGTGACGCAGACAAAAAAATTAAGAATAATTAAATGTTAAGCCGACTTTTTGACACATTTATAGATTATTTATTAAAGTTATTCTCAAATATTTGGTTATCAAAGTATTTGTTGGTGCATTGTTCTGATGTAGAGTACAATTAACCTCTAAACTTTAAATCTTGTCGAGAATAATTCTAATATTATATTTTTATTCGGTTTCCAAAGAATATTACTACATTTTTAACTTTTCAGAGTAAAAAATTCCAGTTTTACTATATATATATAGACGTACGCACGCACGATCATATATCTGTAATGTGCTCATGTCAAATAGATTAGGGCTTCTCCACCATCAACCATCATTCATTTTCTCTTCGAGCACTTATCCAAGTGAAGAATCTTCTCTTACATATTAAATGAGTAAATTACTTTAAAGCGAGAAAATGTTTAGTTTCACTAAAAATGTAAATAGAGATATAAATGAAAATTTCGACTATTCCTTGAAGACTCGCAATTATCTCAAGTCTTGTGGAATGATATTTGGACGATACTATTCCTTGAAGACTCGCAATTATCTCGAGTTTTGTGGAATGATATTTGGACGATATGTAACTTGTTTACTCATAAATAGTGTGATCGAAACGAATCACAAATATAGCATGAACAAACTAGAATCTTCTTTGTTCAACTACAGCTTTTTAAATTTTCAAGCCGTAAAACGGTTGAATTCACACATAAAATGCATTTAAGCAAGATGTCAAGTGAATGTCGCATGCAAACTTAAGATTTTATTTACAAGACATAAAACGAAAAACGATTCACTTAAATTTTATGAATTTTTAAAAGTAGCTTGTCAATAATGTTATTATAATTGGGTTAGTTAAGTTCGATCGGAAAATAAAAATAAAAATTTATAAACTGACAAAAAAAAAAGAAGCAAGAAACTCACTAATTAACCTCTAAATTCTTTTTTATTTACATTTTTATTATACGGTTCAATCAGTGTAACTTTATCGAATCAACATTCAGATCAAACTTTTGAAACATTGAGTCAGCTGGAGCCCAAAGTTGAGCCCTTATATAAGGCGTACGAACTCTCTTTTAACATAGACGGTCCGTATCGCTTCTCACTGGACCCCATTATCCCCATCATCCACCGTCAAATTAGCTGATTTCATGTCCACCGTAGATCATAAAACCCAAAATAAAGTCTTATTTTTTCCTTCACAGGTCATAACCTGTCTCTATAAATCAAGAAAAACCCACCGCTCTCCATCTCTCTCTCACTCAGCAACCTGTGCATACACATTTCTGTATCTATCTCCTTCTCAAGAATTAAACACAGAGAAAATGTGTGGAGGTGCAATTATTTCCGATGAACCCATCATCAACAAGAGAGGAAAATTAACCACAGAAGAATTGTGGGCTGAATTCGATACAATTTCTGAGTTCTGGGGCTTCAAGTCCTCTGATGACAAAGACATGCAGCCCATCAACAAGCCCAAAAAACTCAACAATGGTGAGTTTTCTCTGTGTGTAAATATATGGTATATAAACAGATGTTGGTGGATATATATGTGTAAATTTTTGAAGACGTATAATTAGTATAAACCCTTGTTCATTTTATGTAGATACACTCAAATACATGCGATGGAAGATTTGTGTATAAATTAATGTTATTTTATGTAGGGGCAAATAATAAGGCTGAACAGAAGAACAGTTCGAGGCAAAGGAGGAATATGTACAGAGGCATAAGGCGAAGGCCATGGGGAAAATGGGCGGCTGAAATTCGTGACCCGAAAAAGGGTGTCAGAGTCTGGCTAGGAACCTTCAGCACGGCGGAGGAAGCAGCCAGGGCCTATGATGACGCCGCCAAGCGCATCCGTGGAGACAAAGCTAAACTCAACTTTTCCGACAATCCGCCACCTTCGACTCCGCCTCTTCAGCCACCGTCCAAGCGGCTGTGCGTCAATCATGAGCCAACCCCGTTCTTGGATAATGGGATTCAAACACAGCAACAAGTGTACTACCCAACCCAGGCGGTGGAGAGTCAAGAATTTGAGTTGAACGATGAAATTTCAAGCTTGGAATCGTTCTTGGGATTGGAACCAGCTGAGACACCTCAGTTCGTGAACAACACTGAATCAATTGATTCGGTTGATCTTTGGATGATGGAGGATTTCGCGCAGAATAATCTGTTCTACTGAACAGAAGCAATTAATCAAATATCCTATGTTCAGATGGTGTTAATCTGGATTAAGGTTGATGAGATTATGTTTAATGGTTTTTATTTCGTATGTTGTGGTATGATATTAAATGCAATCAGTGTATACATACATAAAAATAAATTGCTTGCGTGTGCATGCGTCCCTAAATATTGTCGTGTATGTTTAAATTTGTGTTATTTTGGATGTTTGATTTCTAATAATGTTGGTGCATGAATCGTCAACGAAGCTTCACTATTTTTCTTTTGTCATTTCTAACTAATTAATGGACTTTATAATTGCGTCTTAATCACATGATGATAGATAAGGGTATATTTTTAGCTTGAAAGTTACTCTTTGTGAAAATGCGTAAACAAAGAAATATGTTTGGGGAAAAAAAAGTAACTTTTAATCACAATCGAACATACACTTCAGAATGATCTAAAGCAATCTTTGGACCCAAAAAATCACTTTAATAATCGTTGTGAGACAATGAGGGATTAAAGAAAAACAAAGTAATTATGTCACGCCAATTCCATAGATTGTTAATAGGTAAAACATATTTATTTATTAAGAAATCAAATAATTATATAGTGCGAGCAAGGTATTAGGGTGGACATAATATTTTAAGTCTCAAAGAAAATATTGTACCATTCTTCGATTTATGGTAGGCTCCATCGACACGTGATATAGGCACGTCTCCCAACTACCCATTATTTAGTGATAATCATTTATTTTGGGTTATCATGAGCAAAATTTACATAAAAAGTGTAAATAATGAATTACATAACATGATGTGGAGAGAAAAAAATAGAATAAAAAAGTTGATTATGTTTAAACTGTCAAATGATCGAGTGTCATGTGACATTATGTAATCAATTATTTAAGTCTTGATGTACATATAGTAAAATCCTTGTGAGCAAATCTTCCCAAGCTTTGCATGTCTCTCAAAGCTCACATTAGTAAGTTAGGTTTTCAAACAGGAGTTAATTATTCAAATAGTCACATAACTTTGTCAAAAGTTTCGAGGAGGTTACTCAACTTCAAAACTTTTCTAAATAGTCATTGAACTTTGCCAAAAGTTTTCAAGAGGCTACTGAACTTTGCAAAAAATTTCCAGCAAATCACTTAACTTTGCAAATTGAAACCTCATACATCACTGGTTTAGTGACCATCTAAGATCTTTTTGTAAAGTTCAGTGATTATTTAAAGAAGTTTGAAGTTCGATGACCTTTCGGGAACTTTTGACAAAGTTCAATGACTATTTAGAAAAATTTTGAAGTTCAGTGACCTCCTGAAAACTTTTGGCAAAGTACAATG